TACTACCGGTGTGCCACGATGTAGTCCTATATTCATTAATTATTATTTCTGTTTCAGACTAAAAAAAACTCCTGTACCAGCTACACATGTGTCGTGATTATGTTGAGCATGTGCATGTAAATAAATAAAAAAAAATATTTTACTGAAAAAAATAAAATAAAATAAAATACCAAAATAATAGGGGTGCTTGCGAATATTTTAGGGGAACGGACCTAACGACGTCAGTGTGCTATATAAATAAAGCTGCCTTGCCTTGTACCCATTTGTGCATACTGTCTCAAAACTGAGCTGGTTGTCACATGTCTGTCAGGACATTTGCACCAACATGACTTTTCCCAGAAAAACGCACAGCTGACAACTATTTGTAACATAAAGATTGTTTAAAAAGGCGTTTTTAAAAGTGAAAGCAGATATTAGAGCAGTAACTATCCTAAAAAATCCAGCTGTTTCACACGTCGAGCTCCTGTAGAGCCTCGGAAATTTTAAATTCAAAGTACAGAAACAGCTTGATCTTCAGAGAGGAAGAGGGCATTTTTAATTAGCGGGGCTTTGATGGTGAACTTCTTGTGATGTTAAAAACAGATGACACTGTTTGAGAATGACATGACATTTTCCAGGACAGAGTCAGAATTAAAAATCTGTCCTTGTCTAGCCCTCACCAGAGTCTGCTCTTTAGCCATCATTAGTCTTAAATATTTTTATCAAAGCAGTCTCCGAGCAGACTGCTCCTGTTCTCAGAGCTTCTGGTTTTCCAACAACGGCAGAGTCTAAATTAAAAACAAACATGCAGCGGCAAGCAGACGTGGGCTAGGAGTTTAAACTGTGACTCAGCCTCTACTACGCTAGGAAGCAGGAGCTTCCATGTGTCACAACATGCACAGATTGAACTGCAGCCATTGGCTGAAAGTAGGTCAAGTTAACATTCACGTCATCTTTGGGTATGGGAATGCAACAGTTGGCTGTTTATTCCCTCTGATTTACAGCAGAACGCTGAGATAGCTGTTAGAAAAGTTTTTATTTACTGTAGATGAGTAAACAAAGCATGCTGAAGATGTAAACATGTGCCATGTGAGAGGAGAAAGTGTACCGGTTAGAAAACTAATCTGTGTCACAAAGTGAATCTGCTTGTTGCAGGAAGACCAGAGGGCTCACCCGACTCTCCGTTTATAAAGGAATCTGAGCTTAGAGCAGATTTGGCAGGAAATTAACCCAAAGATTTTCTACATATTTGAACAAAAACAAGAAGAAATTGTTTGCAAAGTGTTTTTCTGCTAAATCAATATTAAGTAAATCCTCCAGTTCGGTTGAATTAGTTTCACAGAGATTTGAAGTGGATGATTTGTGTTTGGAAAATGGAAAACAAACCCATTTCTTATGTTGTCTAAATTGTTTCTAGTTATTTTGTTGGATTTCAGCTGCTAAGCAATTTTTAAATTTGTATTTTAGAGATCAAGTCAAGTTTTTCAAGAGCCACTTAAAGACAGTGATCAAAGTGTTGCACCCCTAAAAGAACTAGAACCACTAAAGAATTGAGTATGGACTTGTAGACTTAATTTTAGCAATCAGGTTATTTTTATTTGCAAATAAAATGCATAAAACAAATTTGGACAGCTCACCTTTGATACACTACAGAACACTATCATAGGTCATTCATCCCCACTGCAGTAAGACTGTATAACTCCACACTATTGTAGCGTCATGAATGTCCTGTTTTTGACCTAAAGGTCATGATCTGCTGCGTCTGCTCGAGCAGAGACATGAAGTCTCTGACAAGCTAATTTACAAGAGATAGTGGCCAAGGTCTTTCATGCACTCTGCTCATCTGAACTGCTTCACCTTTGTCAGCGAAGACGAAGAACTCTTTTGATGAACACATAATCAACAACTCTGTTATTACCAATAATAATGTGAGCCCAATGTTCAATCAATCTGTGAAATGACAATGTTATTACTTGATATTATAATCCTGTGATCAGTAGTATTTTACAAGTTATGACGCTACACTATCCTTCTATCCTACACACTAACATCAACATTCAGTATGTGTTCAATACTTGTGCAGTACCAGATGTACATTAGTATGTCTGCATCCCTGATGCTGCATATTTCTGGAAACTCAATGTTTTATTTTTAATTCATCGTTTTAATTGTTGAAGGTTACAATAATACATACTGCCTTTGTGTGTTTACCTGTAATCTTGTTATTGTTTTCTTCTTCCTTTTATTTAAGTGTATGTACTACTGCAAAGTCTTCACCACTGTGGGATTGATATATTCTATTCTATTCTATTCTATTTTATTCTATTCATTTGTTCTAATTAATGACTTTTTGATGTTTTTCTTTTTATAGTTACATTACATTTACTTTTTGAATCAACCAAGTAAAACAATGAACAGTAAACAATTTGTATAGATTACCATTTAAATTAATTTGGAATGAATAAAATAAATAAAACCCAATTTTATTCCCACTCATATGCCATTTTACTGTTTCCAAGTGTGCGCATATGTCCATGATTTAGGAATTTTTTCAACAAGAACAACCATAAAAATGTAGTTTTAAACATTTACATGCATTTATTCTACTGTATTCAGCTTGTAGGCCGTAGGATTTGTTGCCACAAAGATAAAAGGCATTTTATTATTTTTAATTACTGTGCTCTAACATATACTCAAACACTTTTACTCAGACGCTGATGATTTAGTGCTGCAATGAGCCGAGACGTCTGTATCTTTATATCTGCTAGAAACCTTCACTTCTGCTTAAATGTTTGGGTTTGTTTTTTAGCTCTTTCAGCTCTTTGAACACAAGACACGCATACAAAGTTGATGAGTTTTGCATCATGGCTCACGGGTGTCTGTCTGATGCACTGAATGAATCAAATATCTCGCGTGATGTCACATGACAGAAATTAAATCATGAGTGTTACAACAGGTTTCAGCATCAGCATACAATGTGTTTGGGCAAATGATGCAGTAAATCTTTAGTTTGGCACTCATAAACTACAGGACAAGAGGCTTGGTGATGATGCTTGGATTCCTTTCATTGTTTTGTTCTGAAAGGAAATAATTTTATGAAGATTGCTCCATTTTTTATATATTTATATTTTTTACCTAAAATTTTATTTGTGTTTATGACCTGTAAGAAAATTTGAAAATTAAGAAGAAATAAAACAAAAATATGTAAGAGAGAATTCAAACAAGTCGACAAAAACCTGTTTTTCTTACGCTATAAGAATTTTGTTAAAATCTCAGTAATAAAAGTAAAAAGTGGGTTATTTTCTTTAATTTTTTTAACACTTCATACTTTTAAAAAAAGCATATTTATGCTTCTGAGACAAATTTCAATCCGCTTTTAGACCCCTCCCATGCACTGAATCTGCTTTGATTGATCTGGTGGCTGGCAGATAACTTCCTGAAGCTCAATGATGCAAAGACAGAAACAACAATTTTTGAGCCCAGGAACCCTAATGGAACTCTGAGTGGATCTCATCTACCCCTGGCACCTTACCACCAAGGAGCTTTTTGACCGCCTCAGTGACCTCAGCACCAGATATTGGAGAGTCTGACCCAACGTTCCCAGACTCTACTTCCTCACACTAAGAAGAGTTCATCATCAAACTGGGACCCAAGGTGTCCTAGTGCCAGGAGCACATATAGAAACAATCATGCTTGAACATGGTGTTCAAGACAATCGGAAAAGCACTGTAACAATAACAAAACGCCGCTCTGATTCAGACCAGGGGAGCCATTCCTCCTAACAACACCTCTCCAGGTCTCACTGTAGTTTCCCAGATGAGCATTGAGGTCCCCTGGAAGAATGAGGCAGTCACCGCAAGCAGTGCTCTCCAGAACTCTCTCCAGAGACTCGAAAATGATAATACGGGGTGGGGGTGGGGGGGGGGGGGTTGTGGGGGGGATTCTGACCTCCAGTTTGGTGCACATACACAATCAACAGCCAAGACCCAACCTCCCACAGGCAAATAGAGGGCGGCTACCGTCTCATTCACCGAGGTAACCTAACCTTAACCCCAACATGAAAGCACCAAGTATTCCCACCCCTGATAAGTACCGCTAGGCGGGGGCAACTCCAGAGTGGTAGACTGTCCAGCTGCTCTCAATGAAACTGGTTCTGGAGCCAGAGCATATGTGTCAAGGTGAGTCTGACTATATTTAACCTCTCAACGTCATGCACCAACTCAGGCTCTTTCCCCACCAGAGAAGTGACATTGCATGTACTGGAAGTCAGCTTCTGTAGTTGGGGATCAGGCGACCAAGGTCCCCGCCTTTCACCATCCAGCTCACTACACACCTGACCCTTTGGCTCCACCCACAAGAGGTGAGCCCATGGGAAAGGGAACCCATGTCTCGTCTTTGGGCTATGCTGACCGGGTTCCATGTGTGAAAGCCCGGCCACCAGGGACTTGCCAGCATGCCCCACTTCTAGACCTGGCTTCAGAGGAAGGTCCCGGTGACATGCGCATGGGAGAGGGAACACTGTTTCTATTTATATTGTTCAACATAGGAGGCCAAATGTTATTTTTGGAATATTCAGTTGCTCAAGAGAAACATATTGCAAACATTTTAGGTAGATTAGACTGATAACAATACAATTTTATAGCAAATCGACCCAATGGACAACATGTTTAGACTTACCAGAATAAATTATTATCATGCGGGCAGGACAAGGATCTTAATAAAGGACACGCTGGTCAGGAGATGTTCGCTTTTAAAAACGTGTTCTGAGCTTTAATGTTTCTTAACTGTCTGGGCACAGTCGACTTCTCTCAACAGGTCTCCCTCGTGTTGGAGAAAGTTTATTTTCTTGACCGTCGCTGAACGCAACACCAACTAAGAGACTTGAATGAGTTCACTGAACGCACCACAGCCACAGTCCCCGCCCTCCCGAGGCTTTGACGTCACCCACGTCCGTCTCCGCCATGCATGGAGGAGTGCAGCTGCTCCAGCGAAGCCCCGCTCCCTCCGCCCGCCCTCCTCCC